CATGTACAAAAACTTGACTACAGCTTGAGTAGAGGTTACTATTTTCATTCTTAAACTCATATAGTTCTAGCTTAAACACTTGTTTAGTATTTAGCCTTTATTGAGCAAAACGAAGGGTTATTCAAGATTAAGACTGTTTTTATTTCCATTGTTTTCCCAAAGTTTGATGCAGCAAAACGGCAGCCATCAGATGAGAAGTGTTTCAAGAGCTTTTTCACTACAGCTCTTTTCCTGGCTATGTGAGATAGGAAGTTTCATCTGCCTGACAGGCTCTTAGGGAACCAGTGTCCAGTCATCCTTGGCTGGAATGACATTGATGGGCCATACAGGCTGACATGGGGACTTCACTTGGCTACTTTCTCTTGTGTTAGGAGTTGGCCAATGACGTTATCCATCCGTCCACCTTGGAAAGTATTTATTTATTTTCAGGGTAGTTATCATTCCATCTCCATGTGTAGCTCTTGCACAATTAAAATTTAGAACCCCATAGGCTTTTCAAATGATACTAGCTGGTTGGTTTGACAGAACAGGTTTGGAATCGTTTGGTATATATGGGTAGGTTGCTTGTTCTTTGTTGACATGACAGCATGTATTTCCTCATATAAGCTCAGTTTGCTGAGCTCATGTTCGAAGAAATTTGGTTAATTATGAGGAGTATATGTTGTACTGCCTCACTCACAAACACATATGCCCATTTGTGTCCTAAAACACTACTGATAGCATACAGATTTGGTAAGAATTCAGCAGCAAAATGCACTCTGTCTGTCTGTCTCTCTCTCTCTCTCTCTGTGTGTGTGTGTGTCTGTGTCCTTTCCGGACAGGTATATGGATTTCAGATAATATTGTTGTTATTTGCTGTCAAGTCACCTCCAACATATGGCAAGCCTATGAATGAGATATCGCCAACATGTCCTAACTTCAAGAATCCTGCTCAGCTCTTGTAAACTCAAGCCTATGACTTCCTTTAAGGAATCACTGTCATGTCATCTTATATTTGGCGTTCTTCTTTTCCTGTTCCCTTCAACCTTTCCTAGCATTAATGTCTTTTTCAGAGAATATTGCCTTCACATGATATGCCCAAAGTAGAAAAGCTCCAGATTCATCATTTTTGCCTCCATAGATAGTTCAGGATTGATTTGCTCTAGGATCCACTTGCTCATCTTTCTGGCAGGCCAAAACTCTGCTCTAGCACTACATTTCAAATTAATCAATCTTTTTCCTGTCAGCTTTCTTTACAGTCAAGCTTTCACACGCATACATGGTGATTGGGAATAAAAGAGTGTAGATTATCTTGACCTCAGTTTCCAGTGACACATCCATACATCTGAATGTATATTTGAATTTCTTCACTGCTGCCCTTCTAAGTCTCAGACTTCTTTTGATTTCTTGGCTGCAATCTCCATTTGGATTGAAGGCTGAGCCAAAGTATACAAAATCTTTTGCTAATTCAGTTCCTTTATTGTCGACATTAACATTGTGTAGTTCTCCAGTACCCAGCATTTTTGTCTTCATATTCAACTACAGTCCTGCTTTGGTACTACTTGAAAGCAGTCTTCATATTCAACTGCAGTCCTGCTTTGCCACTACTTGAAAGCTGTTTCAGGTCATTGCTGCTTTCTGTCAGTAAGATAATGCTAGAAACCACTAAATGGATAGTAAGAGCCAAAAGGGTTCACAGAAAAAGCATCACATTTTTTTTTCAAATATTACTGCAACCAAGTCCTCATCACTTTCCAGAACTTACATATGTGACCAGAGCTTGGAAAAAATGACTCTTTGTAGTATGGTTTCCAGAATATTGCAATCAGTAGGGCTTGAAAAATTTTAGAATGTCTCACCAGTGAGTCAAAAATTTCACCAGTCAGCATGACTGGACTATAGCCTTGCAATTTATTGGGACTGGGAATCACTGATATATACCCTCAGACTTGGGTTGCTTTAGTACCTGCGTGCCTGTGGGGTTATGAAGCTTGTATTTTGAATGCCTTCATTTTGAATGTCTCCAGCAAAAATAAAACTGAAAGTAAAAGCACCCAGCCTCTTAAGGAGCCACAGTTCCCTCCCACCACAGGATGTGTCCTCGTTCGGTTGAAATTGGGAGCAGGGAATCTCCATATTCTCCAACATGGGAATACTCTACATTCTGCTGCAGAGCTATATCACTATATGATGCTCAAACGTTCTTCTCACGAGTAGAGGACATTTTTCCTTTTGCAATGGGAGGGGGAGGGGAGGACTGCAGGATTAGAGAGAGCGAGAGAGACAGGCGGAGGGGAAGGAGGCAGGCAGGCAGGGAGCTGTGACTCATCCAGCAGCATTTTTCACTCGTCACAGACGAGTGGACGAGTGCATTTTTCAAGCCCCGGCAATCAGCATGATTAATGTGGGAGATTTTATCCCAAAAGTAACTTTTCAAAGTTTTGCTTCTGATAAAGACTTAACTTCAAGTTAATCTACATATTACTTCTCACAGTCCCCAAATCCACAAAAGCAAAAGAGGGCACAGAAGACTATCTGAAAATCTTAAGAGATTTGAAACCATTCAGTAATGACCATTTTCAAAACTCAGAACTGGCTATTCTTGGCAATCTGAATGGCCTTTTTACCCCAGGCATGCACTCTGGTCAATATCTGAATCTTGCTCTGTGGTTTCCCTTCAGCCTTCATAAGTGGAGAAAAGGAGTAGAAGGAACAGGGCCTTTTTATTTATGGCACCATGATCTTAAAGACATTTCTAGAGGTTCTCCTGCTGAGTTCCATCCAAGATTATAGGTGTTGATGCTATGTACTAAAGGGTATGGTTGGATTATGTTAATGATGCTATTTTCATGTATTTTTGTGAGCTCTCTTGCTATAGTTCTTATTTTTATGGCTGTAAGAGGAGGGGCTATATCAGGCCATGTGCCATATTCAACCCTTGGTGGATTTTTCTCTTCTTTTTCTCTTCTTTTTCAACCCTTGGTGGATTTTTCTCTTCTTTGACCACTCCCAATTCCATACATGCTACCAAGGCTCTCCTTTTTGGCACAGACCCTTGTTTCATAAGTCATTGAACATTCCAAAAATTGCAACAGGAAGCCTTTAAACAGCAGAAGTCTGCTATTGCTGTCATTCCTGTTGTGCAGAATTTCAGACACTGTTTCATATCTCAGCTTTAATTCAGTTGTCTGTTATTAACTTTGGTAGTATGTAATAAAATAATAATATGAATAAAATAAAAATGATCAACCTGGGATTACCTCAGGAGATCTGCATGTGGATAAAGGATTTTCTGACAGATAGGCCACAGTCAGTAAGGATGGGATCCCACCATTCTTCTACCCTGGTACTAAGTACAGGAGCTCCCCAGGGCTGCGTGCTAAGTCCCTTCCTCTATTCCCTGTACACACATGATTGCACCCCACTATATAACACCAATGCAATTATTAAATTTGCGGATGATACGACAGTGGTGGGACTCATAAATAAGAACAATGAGTCTGCTTATAGAAAGGAAGTACAAAGATTGATACTATGGTGTAAAGAAAATCATCTCACACTTAACATCAAAAAAACGAAAGAACTCATAATTGATTTTAGGAGGAAGAGAAATGTACATTTACCACTGTACATAAACGGTGAGGAAGTGGAGAGAGTTGGTAGTTTTAAATTTCTGGGCACTTACATCTCAGAGGACCTCTCATGGACTATAAATGCCAACATGCTAATAAAGAAGGCACAGAAGAGGCTGTATTTCCTGAGAATGCTCGGGAAGTTAAATTTATCACAGCATTTACTTCTGTCCTACTACCGTAGCACCATTGAGAGTGTCCTAACTTATGGCATTCTGGCATGGTTTGGGAATAGCTCTGTAGCGGACAAAAAAGCTCTACAGAGAACCATTAAAATTGCCCAGAATATCATCGGGCTCCAGCTACAACCCTGGATGACATCTTCACATCCCGCTGTCTAAGGAAATCACATAGCATCCTGAGAGACTCTTCCCATCCTGCTTATAACTTTTTTGAACTGTTACCATCTGGCAGAAGATATAGAACAATTAAACAGAATTATAAAATAAATAATAAAACATATTTAATATAAAGCAAATTCTGCCTGTCCCTTCAGACTGTGGGATATATAAATACCATATTTAAACTGTATTAGAGGAATGAGACTGGCAGCCACCAGTCATTGCTGGTAGCTCTCGAAGCTCAGTCTTTGGCTTTGCTGGATGAACTCCTCTCATCTTTGGAAGCATATTGTGCAATATCTGTCCGATCGGTCAAAGAGAACCAGTCTTCCAAGAAATCTGTTCACTTCCAATACCCATTTTAAATATTTTGCCCACTTCCTATGCAAATTCATTTAAAAGGCAGAAGTAATTTATGCCACCCTCTAAATCAGCCCTATCTATTTCCTCATAATGGCATAATGAGAGTTCATAAATGCTGACAAGATATCAGATAAGGGAGGGTTAGGTTGTTATTTTATCAGCTTTCCATTGCCATGGCATTTAACATGAATGCAAAACATCTGGATTGGCTGGGAATTTGTTTAGCTTTTTCCCCCCAAATTTTCTTCCACATTTTCTCCTACCCAAACATCTATATGTGATGTGACAAATGAAAAGTTAAAGTGGCTACAATGTCCCCTTAGTGTAATATAAGAAAAATACCCTTAGCAATTCAATTTAACATTTATCGGACAAATGATCTAGCAAGGCCATAAAAGTTGATGGCTTTCAGGAATAGTGGTTGTGTGTTTTTTTTAAGAAAGAGTCTCAGGAACATATGAAATGCTAATGCTGTCATAAAATGCTTAGATAGAAGTGTAATCTAGTGGAAGATTTTAAGGATCTTAATGCAATTGCATTTAATAGTATTATTTGCATTTGACAATAACAATTACTCCTCATACACACACACACACACACACACACACACACACACACACACACACACACACACACACACACATGCATATGCACATTCACATGCACAGACAAAATAAATGCTTACCATATTCACTGTCATAGAAAATAATGAATTTCTGCCAGGCATATTCTGTGACCACTCTCAAGATGACATCATTAATGTAGACAGGTGGTCGGACAAAGAGTGTGTAGTCATCATTTCTGCTGCTCCTGGTGGTCCCACAGCCACTCCTTGGAGTCCCAGCTGTTGACCGCTGGATGAAGAGGTGAGGAATGTGCATAGCGTCTGCCAAAGACTGGAGGGATCCCGCTGACGTACAGCCAATGGAGCTGACAAGAGCCAGGATGCCATGGTTCATAAGATCACAGGCTGAAAAAAAGCACAAAGATATTCAAGATGACAAGAAGAGAGAGATCCGCAGACATACAGAGAGAATGTCTCCCTGCACCACCACCCCAATCTGTTGCTGAAACAAATCTTAAAGACTGCCATCCAACAGTTTCAGCCAAGGGAAGAGAGGCAAGAGTATTTCTATAAATTTAATAACTTTCTATCTTCTAAAAACAGTCCACTCTAAAAGCTTAGATGGTGCCATGCAAACCACGAGGCTTGCTCAAAATTGCCAATCCTATTACTGCCAATGAGAGCTCTAAGACTACCCATCCCCGCACAGCCTGGAAGCAAGTCAGAGCCGGAGAAGGAGCTACATCTATAAATTCAGCCTTCTAGGGACTCCTTGTGGACATTACTACAGTAATCAAATCCAGTATAAAATTAAACAGAGTTCCTGGAGAGATAAATATTTCTCAAAGTCCAGCGTGTACACTGTGGGAATGGGATGCCACACATTACATGCAGAAAGCTTTTAACGGAATAATGGCTCAGACTGGATGTCAGCTTTCGAAGGAATAGAATTCTACATGAATATTTGCATGGAAAGAGTCATGAACAGAATTGTTCTAATGCAATGAAGGAGATCAGAGGCAGCACATTTGATCTAGACCTTGATCTTCAATAGAGGGCAATTCATCAGTTATAAGTGTAATCCCATCAGATGAAATAAACAATTGATCTGGAAGAAATTATTTGGGTAGCCTGAGCTTTTCGGAAGTGGCATTGTATTAATTGGTAGTTAAGATCTATAGAGTGCAGCAATAATGATCTTGTGTTGGCAGAGGAAATCAACATTCTATAAGGAAATTCTAATAATGGGGCTGCCCAAAGAAAATCATATAACCTTTAAACTAGAATTCAGATTAGCACCAAATATGGCACAGTTTTAGCAGACAGTCTGCTCTTGCTATGTAACAAATATGGGAAAGTTTAGGTAAAGAGTTTTCAAGTTATGATTTTTTAAATGTAAAACTGTTTTAACTCCTCATTCAGAAATAGGTGACCTTAAACATCCCCACATTTAAAACAGATCACATAAATTTAAAACATCAGTCATGCTTATCTTGAAAGAAATTGGTTGGTCTCACACTTTTTTAAAAATTTAGAAAGAATCCAGGCTGCAGGGGCTGAAATATTGATCCTCAAAAAAAGCCCATTCAAAAGGGGGGAAAGTTGCTTTGTTTTAAGACTGAGCATGTGTGGGACAGGCTAACCAAGAGGAGCTTCAAGAGGCAAACCACTGTATACATTCATAGGTGGGAGAGGGAAATATTTACATATTCAGTGTATTAAACAAGATACCACAGTAAAGCTTTTACGTGAAGGTATTATAAGAGTTTCCCAATGAGTTCTAAGTATTGTATTTGTAATAAACATGTTTCAGCTAACTCAGTTGTGGACTGAACTCAGTGGTGGCACATTCAGGTAACACCGTAGTGAAGGTCATCTGCCTACTCCGCAGTGTTAGACTGCTACTTCCATACAGCTTATGATATCCAATGATCAAGGATTATGGAACCTGCAGTCCAACAACATAGAGAAGGCAACATGCCCACCTCTGAGTTAACAGAAGGAATGCAATATGCCTGGAAACTACCTCTGCTCAAGCTCCCTGACAATCATTATCAATCAGAATTGATAAGTGAGCGGTATTGACCATTGGTCTGACTTTATAGAGTTGAACAAAAAGCAATTGAGTGTTATTATTTTATTCTTCAAAGTAGCTCTCCATTCTCAACCCTCACTGCCTCTTTAGTGTTCCATTAAGAGCATTTTTCATGTTGCTAGAACAGACTGTCTAGTGGCTCCTCTTGGGTCCACTATGAGATTGATTTGGTGCCCAATTTCTTCTCTTTCCCACACAGTACATGTGTTGAGACTAGGCAAGCAGGTTGCAGGTCAAAGTGAGAGACTGCTTCAGATTTCTGCCCCAAAATTGCCCACACTCACTGCTGCCACATGCATACGGGACAACTGCATGATAGGTCCCAGCGGGACCCATCGTACCATAATTAGACACAAGCCGAGGGCTGAGATACATAGACGCACAAAACCAAAGCATCGACACGGGAAACATGGAGTTGTTTATGCAAAAAGTAACACCTTGTAACTAATGGTCCAGTTAATGAAGGCTGAGCAGCAGTAGAAAATCTTGAAGTGCTATACTAATGACATCCACATTAATTCCAGAGGTGTTTATCAAGATTAATGTTAGTGCAATTGATAAATATCAAAGGAATTAATAATGATTAAGCCTATAATTTTGACGCATTACCCCAGTGAGAAATAAGCAGAGGATGAAATGTTTATGTTGGCTTTCTAATGGAGTCAGGAGCCAGACTGGGGAAGCAGTGCAAACTGTCAAAGTAATTGCACAGTCAGTAAGGTTTTCTATGCCCAATTTATGCTTGGCCATCAACATGGGCAGCTGACCAGTTCTTCAAGATTCACTGCAGGCAACTACACATGTAATGGACTGCTGCTTCCAATTGCATATGTGCTGTAAAATTTGGGCAGATGAATATCCTTTAGTAGTTGTGCTTTTTTACTTGTTCCTGAAAAAAAATAAGTGTTTAAACATGCAGCGCCTTGGACATAGAAGGAGAAATGTGTCTATTTCAGTTATTTTAAAATAATGAAATCGCTTCCATCACAAATATGTATTGATTTGTGACCTGTGTATAAATCCTCCATCACTTTTTTTTTTTTTTGGCAAAGGACAAGATGATTTATAAATAAATAAATAAATAAATATTATGGGCAAGAAAATCATCTGCAGAAGAATGGAATTTTCTCAGCTCCATATGTTCCATGTGCTCCTAGCTAGGAACAGCACCATCTCTGGATCTGTAGTTGTTGTGAACCCTTGCTTTAATGCAGTAAGTCAAAGAATGAAAAACACATAGCTCTATCCACTTTCCTTTTATACATCTACATGTTTAACATTGAACAGCAGGTTCGGTTCATTATTGCATGCAAGCTCAAATCTTATATGCAGGACAATTCCACAGCCATAGCAATGTTAAGGAAGTAATATATATATATTACTTCCTTAACATTGCTATGGCTGTGGAATTGCCCTGCGTATAAGATTTGAGCAATATATATATTGACAGGGTCATATAGTTTATAAAAGTATGAAAAGTAAATAAACACATAAAATATATTTAAATTTATATGAATGGAAGAACTCAATGCATTCCATATCTGCAGGTCCATATAGAACAAAATGTGCTACTTCTAGAATATTTTGAGTCATAAGAACTATTATTTTAAGAAAAATCTCAGAAATGAATACCGTGCTTCTCACCAATACTTCAGCATTTGAATTCATGTTCTTTATCATACAGCAACAAAGCACTGAAACTATGCTCAGAATGACCTCCTTGAATGTCAAACTCCATAAACTTGCTACGCTGAAGAGCAAACTTCACATTCACTTATTTGCTTCAATCTTTCTACGGATGCATTCAATCAGAGATGGGGAACATGTGGTCTACCATATGTTGCAATGCAGCTACCATAATCCCTCACCATTGGCCAAGCTGGTTTGGCCTGATGGAATATGCTGTCTAATTACACCTGGACCATTCTCCATCTCTGCTTTATACTTTCTCGGTGGATGGGTATCATCTTCACATCTAATAATATACAAAGATGGGTGTGTATACACATTTACACAAAATACAGCAAATTCTAATCATTGCACATTTCAACAAGCATCCAGAAAAGGATACTACTGCAATAAATTTAGTACAATATTGTATGACATATTTTCCACCGTGTTTCATTTTGCATTTTTATTACACCAGCTGATTAATACTAATATATTTTTGTTAATTTGCTCAGTCTCCAGGCTATTTTTCTTTTCATCTTTGAAAAAAAAGAAAAGAAAACAAAGGATTGTAATCTCTGTATAGTCATTTTTCATAGGAAGAAAGTTGCCTTATTTAGATTTCCAATCCAACTGGGAATCGCCATTCCCTCCCCTGCAAAATAAAACAATTAAAAGTGTGTATGTAGTGGTTTGCAGAAATAAATCATAGTGAGGATACGTATGTGAAGCTACAAAGCTCCTTGCAGCCACATGGACCAATTCTATGGAGGTTTACTCAGAAGTAAGCAGCCACGAAATTAAAAGACGCCTGCTTCTTGGGAGGAAAGCGATGACAAATCTTGACAGCATCTTTAAAAGCAGAGACATCACATTGCCAACAAAAGTCCGAATAGTCAAAGCTATGGTTTTTCCTGTTGTGATGAACAAAAGTCCGAATAGTCATAAAGAAAGCAGACCGCCGAAGAATTGATGCCTTTGAATTGTGGTGCTGGAGGAAGCTCTTGAGAGTCCCCTGGACTGCAAGGAGAACAAACCTATCTATTTTGAAGGAAATCAATCCTGAGTGCTCACTGGAAGGACAGATCCTGAAGCTGAGGCTCCAGTACTTTGGCCATCTCATGAGAAGAGAAGACTCCTTGGAAAAAACCTTGATGTTAGGAAGGTGTGACGGCAAGAGAAGAAGGGGACGACCGAGGATGAGATGGCTGGACAGTGTCTGCAAAGTAACCAACATGAATTTGACAGAACACCAGGAGGCAGTGGAAGATAGGAGGGCCTGGCGTGCTCTGGTCCATGGGGTCACGAAGAGTCGGACACGACTAAACGAACGAACGAAAGCATGCCTGGGATTTCAGTATTAGTGCTCGTGCATACAAAACAAGGTGAACACTTGAACACTTCTGCTTTAACCTGTGAGAGTTTTGTAGCATATCCAACTGCATTTAGGAGTATCAGGCAGGTTTCTTAAAACCCGCTCCACTCTTCAGAGAAAGTGAATCCCTTTTGAAAGTACAAATAGATGGGAATTTTGAATGAGTAGGAAACGTCTTTCTCTTGATCTGCTCAGGAACAGAAGGAAAGCACATGGAGAATTGCATTACAGTCTCAGGTGCACTTCTTCTGCTCCTGTTTTTCCTAG